AAAAATAAAGTATCGCAGTAAGATTATTTGCATGAATTTGAATTAAAGTGAGATCATGTGTGTAGATTACCTGGGTTCGATGCCATCATGCCAATATTAAATGTATCTCCTGAAATCTGAAGTATTAATGATGAAAAACAAAACCACCCTACACTGAAGTGAAACCACAGACATCCTCAAAACAATATAGTGATGACCGGTGATTTACTGTCACCGAAACAAAACATTTTAACTCGACATGCCCTGAAAAGCAAACACATTCCACTGCCCTTCAGCTCTACAGGAACACATTCGATGTCAATTTACATGCAACAGCCCATAACATACACACCTAAATCAATTCAAGCTTGTTTATAATAAATGATGTAATCATTGAGATTGAAATATTTTAGCTCTACATAATCCACACAGGCATTTAAAGGCATTGTGTGGATTTCTACAGAATTTGTTCACATCCTGATATTTAAAATTTGTATTTGTAATCTAATATATGTAATATTGAATATAATAAACTGCATTTGTAAGTCGCTTTGGATAAGTGTCTGCTAAATGACTAAATGTAAATGTAAAAAGCTTCATTTTACAGCTCAATACAGATTGTACCATCCTCAAACATAATATTCAAACACTGTGTGATAAACTAGGGCACAGTCACCTTGACCATTATATTTGCAGTTGTTCATGGCTGTTTCAAAATAAAACGGTCAAACTATTTAGTTTGATTCTTTTCTCTGAATGAGTTCAAATTGAGTTTTAAAATCCATTTAAACTCTGATTCAATGATTCGCTGCATCATCACTCGAAAATGTTTACATCACATCTTTCATTTTGCCGTTTGTTTTCCTATGCATTATATTGGTGCTGAATATACAAAAATGATCCAATATAATTCTTGTTTAGAAACGTGCATTATTTTAACTAGAGTTGTACTCTATTTTTATATCTTGAATCTAATTTAGATTTTGAATCAAACACAGGCATAAAAACCAAACCGATTTGACGTTCTGACGATTTAATGTATAACGATTCCTTAGTAAAATAAAGTTTAGGGACATTGGAAATGTAAAATAGGTCTAATTGCAGAAGCTATTTTTCACAAAGAGCCTGATGCATGATAACCAATGTAAATGAAAACAAAGAACTACCTCTTTCTGATAAAGATAGGAGGATGCTTGTAAACAGACCCAGTATGTGTACTTGTAAGCAATAAATCATTATTAAACGTTATATAATGCTCACCACAGATAAGCTGTTCTATATTTAAACATGAGGCTTAAAAATGTAAATAAAGTTGACCTTTTTAGTGTACACCAAACAATGTCATATTAAGCATTATACAATGTAACATTTGCTAATGTTATTAAAGGCAGTGCTAATGTCACACTGCATGCGCAGTGATCAGAAAATAGTTTTGTTGTTTGCATGGGAATCTGGCATAATGTTGTTCTATGGTATGGTAAAAATTATATTTTTATATTAGATTAGATTAGATTAGATTCAACTTCATTGTCACTGTGCAGAGTACAAGTACAGAGCCAATGAAATGCAGTTAGCATCTAACCAGAAGTGCAAATAACAGAGTATATAAATAAATATAGATTATGTGCATATACATTAAGCTTTATGACATATAGTGCAAGTTATGAGGTAGGAGGGCAGAGACCAGCTCAATGCAAATGACTGTACATACAACATAGGGTGCAAGCAAATTTTTTTTTTTTTTTTTTTTTTTTTTAAAGTTAAGCATTAGGTGGTCTATCTAGGATGTAGTGTTCAGCACATGTAAACAAACGTTTACCACAATTCGTTTTCTTCGCATCTGCACGGTTCAAATTAATGGAAAAATTCCTTCTTCAGAACGGCGATTTTTGCAGAAAGACGACGAATTTGCAGATATACAAAGTAGCAAACAAATTTCCCGCATTTTTAAACGTCATACCAACAACAATAATAACCATAACGTTTGGGGGAAAGTGAAAATGTGTCAAACTGGGTAGACCAGTTTCAAAACATTTTCAAACGTGAAAAGCGCTATACAAATAAACTTGAATTGAATTGAATTGAATACAATTATCTAGTTTTCAGAAATGAGGTCTACTGTATAGTGAATAATTTTTTTCTTTAGAGACGTGTTGTATTAACTATTACCAGTAAATTCATATGTGCTCAGATTAACATTAGCCTATATTATTATATTGTATTATTTTATTTAAACTGTAACTGTGAATATATTTGGACGCTCCATGTTAGTCACTGAATAGGCTTACATGATTTTCAATTGATGTTTAGGTGATACTGCTTGAAAAGTGAATTATAAAGAGTGCTCAAAGAAAAAAAAACTCAATTATTTATGCTGTTTACTTTATTATCAAAGCCTATGTGATAACATAACCTGAGGCTAAAAGCTGTGATATTAATGTTGTCCACTAGAGCGAGCCACAGGATAAGGAACAGGCCTATTTGAAGTTCTATTTGGCAGCTCAATGTCTTAGTATACAACACAAATGAAAAATGCAGAAAGAATAAAATACACCAATAACTTTATGAAACATCAATTTTCATTACACTAAGTGATCTTACAGTAGATGAAGTAGATGATCTTACAAGAGAAGTAAAGTTCAAAAACAAAAGAACTAAATATCAAATAGGTATGTAACATAATACAGTATAGTGTTGATTGCATACATAAATAAATTGGCCAAATTTCATTACAGTAGTATATAGTACAAAAATAAATTTCTTGGTCTTCTGACAAAACACTTTCTCAACCTCCCTTAGGCAGTTGTCTTTCAGACTCAGTTGTGCAAAAACACGGGTAAACAAAAAAAAACAGGCTAAATTTGACAGTCACAAGTTTGAGTGTGTGAACATGTTTACTGTTTACTGGAGACCGAATAGTGAAATGTCCCTTATATAAAGTACTGTTACTATAGTTACTATACTGTACTACACTGTGTAAGCAGTGTAAAACCCTGTCTATGATTCTTTCAGCTCTCTCTCCAGTGCTAGGATGCATTTTTAAACCTGTGCTCCTGTTTATACTATCCTGAGATTCTGACTGGTGTGTCATCAGTTTTGCTACTGAATGCTTGCTTATGGATAATTGTGTGTTGTTTGAGTTCACACTGTGACAGTAGAGTTAATTATATAATGTGTTTTATGAATGAGAACATAAAATATCTGTAAAATGAGGCCGACTTTGGAGAAATCATAAAAAAATTGGAATGTGTGTACACTGTAAAAAATGACCGTGAATTTAACGGTAAAAGATTTTTAAAATTCTACAGTAAAAACCTGTTAAATGGTTAACGGTCACTGACTGCGCTGATTAAAAGCATGATGGGAAACGACTGGCTAACGACACAGCTTAATGCTCATTGGTTCAGACAACTGTGATGATGCGTTCTCTTCTAAAATGTTTTATTTCTTTATCTGGTTTCATGTGATTAAGTATTTAAATTATGCATGAATATTCCCAAACACTATGACAGTGTGATCTCTGTGTGCGATATGTGATTGTTGTCATATTTCTATAAAAATCTAAAATACATGTTTGTATTAAAGTAAAAATGGATGATAAATACGCCTTTCGTATGGAATTAAATGGCAAGCACTTTGAGTGTCTTGTTCATCATATTTATTTTTATATAAAGGCAACAGAACTGAAATCATATCATGTTAATCAGCAGCACAGCACATGAGTGTGATATCTGCCTTATCTGCCTTTGATCTCGTAGGTATCTTTTTTTATTATTATTATTATTATTATTATTATTATTATGCCATACATCAGAACAATACAACGAGAAACATTCAAATGTAAAGGAGACATAGAAAAAGATGAACAACATTAATGTAATGAAACAGTGCCAGAGGACAGTAACAAAATAAGTAATCTCGTAGGTATCTGTTCACTTCGAGAGGTCAGAACTGTCCGTCTTGCCTGCTCTTATTTCACTCCTCCCCTCACTGCAGCCGCCTGCTCTCGCCTTCATTTCAGGCGAGGCGCATCTCAAACAAGCCTCTTGTATGCCGCGTGGAGTTCGATTCATTTAGTGAATCGATTTGTTCAGACGGTTCATTTCAATTAACTAGTTTGGGGCGAAACGATTCGCTTGTGTCATCAAATCAAAACAGTCCCCAGTTCCCATTGTATGGCTATTCTCTGCCGCAACATAAACATTTAGTTGTATACAGTATACGCAGTTTATTAAGGGATATAAATCAACATGCATATACATATTTTATAAATTTGCCTATATTAAAATATGATGATAAATTATATATCTGCTTATTAATTGTACATTTACTTAGGTACATCGGATTTTTTATTTTTAACTGGGTTTGTTTCTTCAAAATTTAGTCTCAAACACAGTTTATAAAGTCGAGGTTTCGAGAAAGGGTTCACACGAATCGGTTCATATGAATAATTAAAAGAATCACTTAAAAACAATGCTTTGTTCGCGAATCTGAAAGCCGAGAACTAGATTTGGTACAAATACCAAAACTGCACCAACCAGTTTAAAACCAAAGAAAAGGGCAAACGTGAGAACTAAATGCCACAAGTTGTCATTGTGGTCTTGCGTTCCTTGGGTTTTGTTTTGAGGTTTGGCTATTCAATTCCGCTTGCATCCGGCTACAGTATAATGAATTACAGCGCGCTACTATACAAGGACATGCGCTAACTATTCCTAATTCCACCCTAATTCTGGAATAAGCAGTTAATAATCACAAGAGATGTGCTTAAACAACGCGAACGGATTCGCACAACAATAATACGGCAGGCAGATAAACTTCTAAATCTTCTAAACTTCATCCTTCAAAGGAAAGTGTTGCATCAGCCCTTAAATGGAGAGCAGCCCACACCATGTGCATCGCAGACATGAGATTGGGCAGGAAGAAGGTTTACAAAAAAAATCTTTCGAAGTGTCAAAAAGTACACGCAGAAGAAGATTAATGCACACTGTAAAATTGTTTAAATGCACGTGCCTCATTCTTACCTGGTAAGGATCCCCAAATTAAATTCTCCAACACTCCACCTCAGAACTGACAGCTTCAAGCACGACGAAAAATAAACAAAAAGCCACCTGGACAGCTGGCTGTTCACCTTCTATTCCATACCAGTACTACTTTACAATAAAATACTACGCCTTAAACCTTAAGCAAATCCCACCCATTAGGTATCATAGGCGGATCGTCTCTAACATCCTTCCGTGTGCCAACACCCAACCGCGAGAGTACGGACCCGTGTTATCGTCAAGCATTCCTGGTTTGCATAGTTACGTTTATTGATATTCAATCGAGAGTTACCTTTTCTTGTCCATCTGTTCACGTCGTTTCTGCTCATGGAAGTTCAACTGTTAATAACCCTTTGATACGCAATTTTCTAAGGCATCTATCTTATCATCATGATCAAAACTTTGCTGGGAAAAAAAAAACTGTTTTACACAATCTACCTCATGCCTTCTGTAGTCTGATTGATAGTTCATGCTTTTTTAGCAAGTAAACGCCTTTTATTGTACTTGTAAAAAAACTCAAAACCTCCTTAGAGTCGTGGCTCCTGTGTTTTGCTGTGAAATCTTTACATTTTTTTTTTTATAAAAGGAACAAGAATGACTTTTATACTATTAGCAATAGGCCTGATGAACATTTATTAGACTGAAGCTGAACTAAATTTGATTATCCATTCATCGTTTTTTAAATCATGTTAAAATTGATCAAATATGTACCTACATGAGGCTTCTGAGGAATGCCGATTGTTATCTCAATCATGATTGTATTGCATTGCATTATATTTGCTCCCACAATAAAAACTACATTGATAAACTAAGCATTCAAATATCATCTTTCTAACACAGGCTATTATTGGCGGGATACAGAGTGACATCTGATATTTATATGCATTTTATGCATAGTCTGCTATACTGTTATCTTATTGATTCACATGACAAGCTATCAGAATTTCATCTTACCTTTTGACCATATAGATATCAGCAACTGCACCAAATTGGATATTTTGCTCGGTTAGGCCTCAAGTTTTCTTTTTTTTTTTTTCTCGATTGTGAGCTCCATATTTTCTTAAATCATACTATATGAGCCATAAAAGCCTGATGTATCAAATATAATACTCAACAAAAGCACATGCAAAAAAAAAAAAAACCCATACAGTATAGAAACGCATACTGTACAGCATGAGAAACAATGTTTATATAGATTTATCAAAATACACTTTATACAATTTTAAAGTTCATATTTTAAAAATTCTGTCATCATTTTACTTATGTTCATGTTGTCCTAAACCTGTAGCTTTTTTTTCTTTGGAACATAAAGGATATATTTTTCGGAATGTCCTGAAAAACAACCCTTCTTTTCCACAACTGCACCTAAGTTATCTGACTTCTAGCAAGCAACTGATTATATAATTAAAATCTTGGCTGAATTTATTTATTTATTTATTTTTGCCGGTCAAAAAGTTTTTCCCTCTCAAATTCCGCAAAGGGTTCAAGTTGGCCGTGCTAATTTGATGTGTTGTCCAACAGAAAGTTGCATGATTTGAAAGTGAATTAAGCGTAAGCTGTGCTTACATCACTACACTATTGACAACAAACAATGGACCTGTTTTGCCTGTGAAATTTCACCAAAATTGTGTTAATGTGACACAACCTTTAGATGCATGTGTATTCTCAGTACCTGTTCTGCTAATTGTCATTAATGTGCTTTGTGCTTTTTATTGTAAGCATCTTTGTGAAGGACATAAACACTTGAAAACTCTTTTAATGCAAATGCATTATAGTTTTCAGAGTGAAGGCATGAAGTAAACTGGCAACAAAATATCCCTATTCACAGAGAATATGTTGAGTAAAGTAAGTGTAATGAGTAGTCCACTGAACGGCAAGTTGAAGAACCCATGTACAGTTTATTTACAAAGTGATTCAAACATCGACTTCACTTGAACAGACTTGACGTAGCATGAACAGACTAGAACAGCCTTTACAGGACAACAACAGACCAAGAATTAAGGCAACATAAGGGCTATTTATATCAAACAAAGAGGGGCACATGACAAGAACCAACCAGTGAGAAACAAGACACATGACTAAGACAACCAATGAGAACATGACACATACACAAGGCAGAAATTCATGAGGGCAAGGGAAGCATGACACCAACAGCATGAATCAAATTACAAAATAAAAGACATGAAAACAAGAACATGAAACAAACATTACATTCCCCCCCCCTCTAAGGGTGGCACTTGATGCCCTAGTGAAAAACCCACCCCAAAACAGAAACAAAACCCAAAAAGTCCAGGAGGGAGGTAGAGCAGAGGCGGAATAGGGGGAGGGATGGAGGGCCAGGCCCATGCAGGGGAACAGGTTCAGAATAATGGCCTAGGCTGTGGAGCAGTGGCAGACAGCGAAACACTGGAGGACCTGGGTCGTGGAGCAATGGCGGGCCTGGAGCTAGGAGCAGTGGTGGACCAGGATCATGGGGCAATGGCAAAACTAGGCTGTGGAGCCATAGAGGACAGTGAAGCACTGGAGGACCTGGGCCCTGAAGCAGTGACAGACAATTGAGCAGAGGAGGACCTGGGCCGTGAAGCAGTGGCAGACTGTAGAACAACGGAGGATCTGGGCCATGGATCAGATCCATTGGAGCATGAAGCCATGGCGGAGCCGGCAGAGCAGGGATCCATGGCGGTGCAGGCAGAGTAGAGAGCCATGGTGGAGCAGACAGAGCAGGACGGCCGAGTGGTGCCGGCAGAGCAGGGAGCCAATGGCGGAGACATGGACAGACCACTTGACCGTGATAGAACAGGCAGAGAGTTCTTGAGCAGCTTCCATAGCTGCAACATGACAGACAGTGAGTTCATGAGTGGCCTCCATGGCTGTGACAGGATAGACAGTGAGTTCATGAACGGCCTCCTTGGCCATAACAGGACAGGCAAAGAGTTCAGAAGCAGACACCGCCACCTCTGGAGGTTCTGCAGTGGATGCCGCCACCTCTAAAGGCACTGGAGCAGGTTCGTGGACAGAAGAGGCCTCTGGAGCAGACTCATGGACAGAAGAGGCCCCTGGAGCAGACTCGTGGACAGAAGAGGTCTCTGGAGCGCAGTATGCAGCCCACACACTAAAAATGGCGACCGCCATCATGGGCAGTGCAGCAGACAGTGTGATA